CATGGCACTTTCAATATTCTCCTCCAGCACCATAACTCAAAAGCTTCAACTATCTTACAATTGTTCAGCTTTAACATGCATGTGAGGTTATTGAAAATACCGTAGCTTGGGTCAGGTGCACCTTTGTCCTCAAGCTGGTATCTTGGCTCTTCAACATTTTAAAGAGGTCTTGTGAGGCAGATTTGTCCAATTCAGTACATTGTTTGATTTCTTGACTGCTGCTTCCATGAATGTTGACAGTTGATCCAAGAAGAATGAAGTCCTTGACAGCTTCAGTCTTTTCTCCACTTTTATGGATGTTGCTTATTTGTCCATTGGTGAGGATTTTTGTTTTCATTACATTGTGATGCAGCCCATACTGAAGGCTATGGTCATTGACCATCATCAGTAAGTATTTGAAGTCTCTTCACTTTTAGCAGTCGAGGTTGTATCCTCTGCATATCGCAAGGTGTTAATGATTTTTCCTCTAATCTTGATGCTAGGTTTTTCTTGATATAGTCCAGCTTCTCCAATTATTTGTTCAGCGTTCAGATTGAATAAGTATGGTGAAAGAATACAGCCCTGGTGTGCACCTTTCCTAATTTTAAATCATTCTGTGTTCCCTTGTTCTGTTTGAAGAACTGCCTCTTGGTCTAAGTACAGGTTCTTCATGAGCACAATTAAGTGTTCTGGAATATTCATACTTCACAGTGTTGTCGATAGCTTGTCATGATCCACACTTGTTTGGGTCTTTCCTCGACAGAGGAGTGAGTCGCATGAAGTTGAGAGGTCTGAGAGGCGAAAGATATAACATAGAGACAAAGAGATAATATAGACACAAAAAAACCAGACACACAAACTTGAGCAAGCTTAAAGGCAGATTGGTCTTCTGCAAATGGCATTGATGCAGCTGTACATTGCATTCAGCATTGCATGAAGCACTCACACTGCCTCAGCCTTTTATTATCTTTTTTCAAGGAGGGATTTTTCAGCTAAAATAAAATACAGAACTGAAACGTGATTAATCATTCAAAACAGGATACAATAATTCACAGGAACAAATTTTAAAATATACATCATAATTGTCTCAGGGATACTTAACATGCGTTTAGCACTTAATCTCTAATGAGTAAAGGTGAAAAAGAATTAAAAGGTCATAGAAGGCTTAAAGTAAGGTTTTTGAAGGGAGTCAAGCTGTCTTTGTATACTCTGCAAACAAAAGCTCATGTTTTTGTTTGTGAGCAAGACCTCAGACACCTGGCTTCATGTATCAACTAATAATTCTTTCTTCTTTACTCTTACAATTCCAGGGAAGATGAGAGTCTCAACCTTTCTAAGAAGGTGAGGTCTCACTTCCTCATTTCTATGCTTCTTTCCGGATTCTACATCTAAATGCTACATCACATTTCCATATACTTCCAGGAGGAAGGGGAGCATCTGGGTTAAACTGATTGTACCCAGAGGTGGCTTGAGGGGGCTGCCACTATTGTCCTCTAATCAATACTCCCAATATACCTGTTCCTGGCCTTTCTGAGTCCTCTGAGGAGACTTTTTACTGTCTCGGTTTTAGAGGGGTTTTGGTCCCATTGTTGTGTATGGACATCAAAGGCTCATGCTTTAAGTTAATATCAACATGTAGTCCTGACATGCATTCCAGGGGACTATTGTTTGTTCCCAGGACCCTACGCACTGCCAACACAGGGGAGACATTAAGAGAGGCACGTAAGAAACCATTTTCTCAGAAGCTACAATTACTGGAGTTAGAAGCATAGAATGAACAATAAGATCAAAGAAAATTATACAGAGGTAGCCCACCAATGAGTTCGCAAAAACCTATGAACCCAGGACTTCAGGAGGTCACTTCCTTGGCCCTCAGGGTCCATGGCCTGCAGTTCTGAGGAGGGCCCCTTTGGATTTTCATCCATCTTGTCACAGGGGCCTCAGCTTCTCAATGCTTGCGAATGCTGTCCCCAGCACACACTATCAAAAGCCTTTGGGTAGTCAAAGAACAAGTAAACATCTTTGTGTTATACCCTGCTTTCAGCGAAGATCCATCTGACGTCAGCAATGATATCCCTCATTCCATGTCCTCTTCTGAAACTGGTTTGAACCTCTGGAAGTTCTATGTCAATTTATGGTTGCAGCCTTTTCTGTATTGCCTTTTGTAAAACTTTACTCGTGTTAGATATCAATTATATTGTCCAATGATTTCTGCATTCCATTGGGTCATTTCTCTTGGAATGTGTGCAAATACAGATCTCTTCCAGTCCTTTGGCTATGTAGTTGTCTTCCATATTTCATGGCATAGATGAGTGAGTGCCTCCAGTGCTGCATCACTTATTGAAATATTTCAGTTTGTATTCCATTAATGCCCAGTGCATGTTTTTTGTCAATGCCTTCAATGCAACTTGGGCTTCTTCCTTTCAGGACCATTGGCTCTTGATCATGTGCTACCTCTTGAAATGGTTGAACATCGACCATTTCTTTTTGGTACAGTGACTATGTGTATTCCTTCCATCTTCTTTTGATGCTTTCTTTGTCATTAAGTATTTTGCCCATAGAATCCTTCAGTATCACAAGTTGAGGTTTGAATTTTTTCTTCAGTTCCCTCAGCTTGAGAAATGCTGTGCATGTTCTTCCCTTTTGGTTTTCTACCTCTAGGTCTTTGCACATTTCATTATAATATTTGACTTTGTCTTCTTGAGCTGACATTATTATCTTCATTGAGTAATAATACTAGTTGGAATTCTTTGTAGGCAGATTGATATCCTATCACAGTGTTGTACTTCAATACACATTCTGATAACTTTAAATTTTTTTTTTTTTTTTTTATGGTGAATGCAACACCATTATTTGTCATTCCCAGCATAGCAAACCATGTGACTGTCAGATTCAAAATGACCAATACCATTCCATTTCAGCTCATTAATGCATAGGATATTGATGTTTATGTGCTCTATTTCATTTTTGACAATTTCCAGTTTACTTAGATTTATACTTGGTGGGTTAATGCGCCAGACTGCAAAGCCATTTGAACTGCTAGGTCAGTGGTTCAAGCTCACCAGCTGCTCCTTGGAAACCCTATACAGGGTTTCTATGGGTCAGAATCAACCCGACGGTACTTAACAACAACAACAACAACAACAACAACATTCCATTTTGTGATTATGAATGGATGTTTACAGATGTAGCATAGTGGTTACGAATCGGGCTGCGAACCACAAGGTCAGCAGTTCGAAACTACCAGCTAGCTGTTCCACGGGAGGAAGATGAGGCGTTCTGCTCTCGTAAAGACTTACAGCCTCGGAAACCCTGTACAGGGTTACTATGAGTCGGAATTGACTCGACAGCACTTAACAATAACAACAACAACACAGCTGTTTATCGTCATTTTGAGTTGTGCCTCAGACCCAAATGTGGGTCTCAATAGCTTGACTCCATTCGTGACACCACCCTCAACTGTACTTTGAGCATTCACTTCTTCCCCAATACTATTTTGAGTCTCACAGCCTGAGGAGTGCATCTTCTGGCACTATATCTGGCATTATTCTGGTGCTCTTTATCATGTTTCAAGCCATGTTATTTCCAGTAACCTCATATGCATGTGGAAGTTGGACATTGAGTAAAGGAGACTATGTGGAAGAATTAATGGATTTGAGTTGTGATGAGTTGGTAATGACTTGTCCAGCACCCATCAATAACAACAGGAACATATGAGTTTA